ACTATTGACAAACTACGGCCCAGTAGATATTATTCTAACAATCCGAAAAAGCTATAGACTTCATTCCCCAAGGGTAAAGGAAGGTAAGGATGCTTCATGCTGGAGACAGGCCTGAAGATGAATGGGGAGAAGCTGTACATCAGCAGGTTGCAATTCTGGCTAAGTCAGGGAGAAAGGGAATTCACTTGAAGACTGTGGGTTGCCTCTAGGAAGTGCCGAGAAGCTGAAAAGCCAGGATTGGAAAATGATAAGGAATGAAAGGAACCTGGGCACCAGGGGCACGTCAAGATGGTGTTGCAGAAAAGGCACCTCTGGGACCACAGCTTGGGACATGCCTACCGCTGCCGATGCCACTTGATCCATGACGCAAGGTGGTAAACAAACACTCCAGTGTCCCTGTGTCCTTTAGCTAGTCTTTCAAGATTCCAGGCCCCAGGTGGGATCATTCAACTAAGCCCTAGTTCAGGGCTGGGAGATATGGACAAGGAGAAAGAGGCCCATCTCCCACCAAAAAAAGCTTGTGTTTCCTCAATAGGATGTTTGGTTCCCACTGCTTAGAAGGATTTTAAGTGAGTCTGAAGAGAGAGGGCACTACAGGCACGACTGCAGAGTGGAATAAGAACAGACAGGCCTGAATTCTAGTCTGGAATCCTTTGTACCTTTAGAAAATTAATTAAGTTTTCCGATCGGCAGATTCCAAATCCTTAAAATAGAAATGACGCCATCTGCTCTCCAGGGTTGCTGTGAAGATTCAGTCCAATCATTCATTCAATTATTCCAAACATACTTATTGAAAGTCTAAGTGCCAGGCAGGCACTGAGTTAGGTTCTGGAGACAGTTTGGAACAACACCTAAAATGCGATGGGGAGTCAGTGCATTATACTGATGAAAGATTTAGACGAGGGGGGCCCGGGTCATCTCGTGACACTGGTCATGTTTTACTTTTCCCCAATGGAGTCACTGCCCATTTGTGACTTTTCTCCTTTTTTTGATTGATTAACATCAGGGCCTTCTCTTCAAATAGATTTTCTTAAGACATGTAACACGTATTATGTTAAAAGGAAAAAAACTCTAAAAATTGACTGTGATCCTGTAAACAAGAAAGGAATCATTCTGAGAAGCAGTGAGGCCCGCTGCTTGTAGCATTCAGATGGGGTGACCACAAGAAGAGACTGGCCAATTATATGAAACCTCTCCCACTTAATGTTTAGCATATGTAATTTACTCAGACATATGCAAACTACAATTAAAATGAACATTAAAATAGATCTACGATAAAACTTTTTTTTTTTATTTTTTACCCTTTACAATTGCACAAGTGTCCTATAATCGGCAAGATGCATTTCGTATACATTTTCTCACTTTCTTATAATAATCTTTTCATCACTATTTTGCAGAGGAAGAAACTTAGGCTCAGGGAGGGAGAAATTATTGCCCAAGGTCATGGGCTAAGAAGTTAACTTTAAATCCAGCTAGCACTCTCTTGCCTTCTGCCATAAGAAAAGAGCAGCCTCAATTGAAAGCACCAGGTCAAGTAGCCAGGTTGAGGGAAAAAATGAGGACTAGCCCTGATTTTTTCCAACACTAGCTGGAAAGTTACTGCATTTCCCTGGAAGCTGCTAAAATGTTACCACTCCTCCTACAACAACTGTCTCTAACACAGGGACCCAGGTTTAGAAGCAGGCCCCGAAACCTGGTGCCTGAGCACTGACCCAGGGGACAGGCTCAATTTCATCAGGACACCCAATACATCTTACCGTGCCTTCCTCCAAACCTTAGCCCCCATAGACAGACACGATTTAGCAACCACGGTGGGGATATGCCATCATGGGTAGATGCCATGGTCTGGAAAGGCACTGTGCACGGATGAAACCATTTATACCACCCAGGCCATCTTTCCAGCCCCTTCCTAGTCAACATCAAGTTTCAATTCAAGGCAAGAAAAGCTTCCATGTGACTTTTCCCTTCAGAGACACCGCCCCCCGGATTTTTCCAGTAAAATAATTTCTTATTTTAATAAGAAAAGTACATGCTCCAACTTTTGGGGGAACCCTAGAAGGACTTGAGGCTGCATCCTAGACATAATGACAGGAAAGTAAAGAACCCTTTGCTTTTTCTGATGCCATCTCAAGGTGCCACTTTCTCACCAGCTTCTCAGAACAAAAATCTCCCATCTTAAAACTACAGAGCATTGTATACCCTGTGGCTTCACAGAGGATCCACAGTCTAGAAGCACAGCTTAATAAGCCTCACTAAGGAATCTTCATCTATGCTGCTGTTGTAATTAACCACTTTCACTTAAGAGTGCTTAGTCATGAAGTTGTCCATCCCTGTCAAACTCAGCTGAAAGAGTTAGACGGGCTAACCAAAAACCTGGAGAGACTCTTTTAGAAGCTGTTCTTTCTCCGCTTAACGCTGGAGAAAACCTTATGTAACACAATGGTCCATTTCAATATGTTATTTCTGCAATCCTGTGGGGGAAAATCTAAGCGCTGGATATACAAAGGGAAGGGTAAGGCAGGGATTTGCAGCCAAGCGCGCGTTTCTTGGAATTTTAGTAGGTAAGTCTTATTCTAATTGCACCCAGTGTTACCCAAAATTACCAGGAATGCAGAAAGCAAGAAAAAAATTCGAACGCCAAAGGATGCGCTTTGCTTTAGAAATGCAGGTCGGCAGAAGAAGTTGGGTTATTTCTCCCTCCTTTTTTTTTTTTTTTTTTTAAGATGGAATTCCTGGAATTAACCCTTGGGTGGAAGCATTTCAACAACATAAAATGAGATTTGCCTGCAAAGCGAGAACGCACGGGTGGAAATGAAGGATCCTGCCTGTGCCAGGCTGCTGCCTCAGCAGTCCCCGAGCACCCAGTGCCTGAGAGCGAGAGCGTGGGGACTCGTCTGGGGACCCTCTTCCTGGGCTAGTGGCGGAAGGCGCAGCCGAGCTGGTGGTGGCGGGGTTTCCCTCCGGGGCTAGGGCTGAGGGAGGAGAAGAGGGCGGACTGGTTCCTCCGTTCTCGACTCCTCTCTCCGCCACTCCTTGAGGCTGCTCCATGCTAGCAAGACACTGCTTCTCGGAGCGCAGCGCAAACACAGTGGATTTGGAGTGGCCTCCCTAGAATCCCCCCAAAAGCATCTTGGCATAAGTTGTAGATAAAAATAGCTCACGATAACGTTGTGGGGAAGGGAGGAGCGAGACTCGCGCAAGGCGAGGCAAGGGTACCACTGGCTCTGCAAAGGAGGAGGAAGAGAGAAGGATGCAACCCCCGGCCCAAGAGAGCACCCTGAGTGTGCGATGAATCGCTGGCTCCCGGGGGAGGGAAAGAGATGGAAGCCCTATAGCGCCGGCAAATAACTGCAAGAGTCCAGCACACCCCATCCCGCGCCGGCACCCGGCTTTGGCTCTAGCTGCTTCTTCCCATCATCCGCCTACATTCTGGGTCTGTCCTCCGCTTCCCGGGACGGGCTGGGGCCAGAAGGAGGAGCAGCGCGCGGTCCGCCCCCTGGCTGGTAGAGCGCACCTGGCGAGGTCAAGTTCCGCGAATAAAACCCTTCTTGGGATCCGGGGGCTAGGCTCTCCAACCGCAGGTTCGCGCCCCGTCATCCCTCACCTCCATCCGCTGCCCAAGGGCCCGGAAATAGAAACCCACGAGGGGAAAAAAATATCAGTATAAAGTAACAAGAAAAAAAAAGACCCTCACGTAATTAGCATTGGGGATGGCAGGTTTACTTATTGTCAGGGCTGTCGCCTCAATTTCTCCCTTGGGGATGCCTATCTCCAGCCAAATGCAAAGGCAAACCCGACCAAGGCTTCTCTACCCTCAAAGGCTCCCTCGACCGAGTTACTTTTGCGGGCTGTGTCATCGCCCCAGTTTCTGGCCCCAGGTGGTACCCAGGTTCCGTTGAGTGCTGCGCTCTCGCTGGCCCACAGGGTCCTATGTTGAAGCTGCGGTCGCCAAGCAGCTGGCAGGAGCGAACCTCCCGACTCTGCTGGGGGGAAAAACACCCAACCCAGTAAGAGTCAGAAATTCGGATCCCTGTCCTTACAGATCAACCGGTCCCTCGGGACTTCCAGAGCAGAGGTGCTAGGGTAAGAGGTGAGGAGGATGGGAAAATCCCCAGCCTCTTCTTCCTGCTTCCCTCTGCATCCACTCCACCTGCTCCAGCCCCGATTCTTCTTGGGTTCTGCACTTGCCCGAAGTCCAGAACGCCAGACTAAGGCGCCTCGGAGCCCCCCACACCTGCGTCCTGCCACTCTCCCACCCCGCGCGCGCCGCACTCACCTGAGCCGCGCCTCTGTCCAGCCCGTCCGGCGCCCTAAATAGGCTCCTGGGCTGGGCCATGGGCAGTACTGCGGAGCACCCGCGGCGGGTGGAGCAAGTTTCTGAACGGCCCGGGGCAGGCGGGCGGGGAAAAGGCGCAGGCACCCACTGAGACCCGGTGGTGGTGGCGGCGACTCTTGGCTGCCAGCGCGCCTAGGACCTTGCAGGCGGGCGTTTTGGTGCTCAATCCCGAGGAGGGGAGGAGCAGGAGGAGGAGCAGGAGCAGAAGGAGGGGACGGAGGAGGCCGGGCCCGGAGGGAGAGCGCGTTGGGCAGAGGAGGATCGCGAGCGCCCACTGCTGTCCGGCCGGCTTGGGTGCCAACCCTAGTCCGGCCCGCTAGGTGCCTGGTGCACCGCTCTGTGCTCAGCTGCTCCTCACAGCCCCGCCTGGCACGCAGCTCCAACAGCGGGTCCTGGAGTAGTCGGTCCCACCCACCCGGTGCGGCGGCCCCTCGGGTTTCAGTCCAAGGGAGAGGACCAGCGCTCCAGAAAGGTGAGGCGGCTGGGTGGGTGATTCCGCCGTCACTGCAAACCTGGGACGTCCGGTCTACTCCCTCACGCCTGCTTGGTCTGAGCCCGAGCCTACCTCTTCCCCAAGTCGCCAGCTCGGCACTTGTACCCGGGACCTGTGCTCCTCCCACGTGCGTCTGCACCACCAGTGTTCCCTTCCCGGCAGGTGACCCACCTTAGGCCCTGGCTCTCCTTCCGCCCCGCGGGAAGCAGGAGATTCCATCCTCTCCAATTCGCTCTGCAGCCGGACTGGGACCGCGGCGGCAGCCTGGGCCGGAATCCCCGCGAGGAGCCGGCTTCAAAGAGCGCCCTGTCGCCATTGAATACTCCTCCTTTGGTTTCGCGTCAGAGAGTGGACGCCAATTTGCCAGAAGAGCGCGGAAAATTCAGCTTTTTTCTTTTTTTTTTCTTTTCTTTTCTTTTCTTTTTTTCTTTTTTTCTTTTTTTTTTTTTGCTAGTGCACTAGGATTGCAAACGTCAGCTCTGAAATAAAAAGCAGAGTCTTTCTGCCCCGCCCCTCTGTTCCGGAAGCTGGGAGGTTCTGTGGGAGAACCGACCTGCACCCAATAACTCAATTTAGGATTTAAGGTTTTGAGGGGCGTGGAGTTGGAATCGCCTTGGAAAAACGGGCTTGCCTGCTTACCTGAGCCAAAGCAAATTGCCCTCAAGGGCGAACAGCAATCATACACCCCAAAAAGCAAATTTCATCAAAGTAACTTCCTTTAAATGAAATTTCTATAGTTTCCATGTCTTACATATTAGTAAATAAATATTTGGAAGACTTAGAATTTGTGATTTACCTTTAAATATATTACACCAACATTGTTTAATTTAAAAATATTCTCCCATCTAAGAGAAGGTTCCTATAGGAAATTGGCCCCTTATCTCATACACAGATTACCCTCGGCACTTTGAGAAAGAAACACAGTGACCAGTATTTTCTGTCTTTTTGATAAAGCCGGAAGCACCCCGAAAGCTGAGACCTAACTGTGCTTTTGGAAAATAAGCTTTTAGGAGTTGAATGACCTTGTCTACTTCTTTCAGTCAGAATAATGTTGGCATGTCTATTTTAAGTAAAAAAAAAAAAAAAAAACACTGTCTAAAAAGTGACTTTAAAGCCCCACTTTGAAAGCCTTAGCATTTCAACTAACATTAGATTTAAAAGAAGTGCTTTTCTCCCCCATTACAGGAAGCTGTGTAAAATCATGTGTGAGGTTGTGAGGGTCAAATGGAAGTCTAAGATAAAGCTCTGCCAATTACTGGTGTCTTTAAGCTTCCACCAGCAGCCAAGCACAGTGCAGATCATGAGTCCTTCAAAATACGGGGCAGTTTTGATGCTCTAAGTTGATATGATTACTTTTTCTAAAGAGTTCAAAGTGCTTTGGTGCCATAGTATGAATTTCATTACCCATTGTGAGACACAAAGGGGGTTAGCAATGATTCTGTTTGCACCCTGGAAGCCAAACGCAGGTTACTGACCTACTTAGTTCCCTACCACAAGACTTTGAAAGAAACTGGAACCCCAGGTTTCCAGCCCAGAGTTTTTGTTAGAAGTTTCCATTTGCAGGAAATGATTGCAGGGCACATGTGTGAAGTGACAGGAATTTGAGGACTAGCATTTTACTTTTCCTCATTTCTTTTAAAATCTGAGCAATTGTTCATTGTTCAATAATCAATGTTCTTACATTCAGATAAATAAAAATATCAACTGGCTATTTTGTTCTTACTTAGCTTTATGTGTGAGTCCAGGCATTTGCCACTGCTCCTAAATAGCTCTTCCTGAAGTCTTCTGGTCATGAGTTAGGTTTCCCATCCAGAAGTGCATATAGTACCAGAGCTTAGCTCTCCTGTAACAACACAAGCACATTATTGAAACATCTATTTAGGGATCTGTCTTCCCTGATAGATTATAAATGCTTTGAGCTCTGGTATCATGATTTAATGATGAATCCTGTATGGTATCTGAAATATACTATGCTCTCAAAAAAAAACAAAGTTTGTAAATGGAACTTCCCTCGAGGAGTCAGGGTTTGAGTCAAACATGTTTCTCTTTCAAAGCCAGAGGCATAAGAATAGAGGCTCCTGGAAGACACGGTGGTAGTGGACTGGCGAAGTGGCTGTCAGTCATAGATGTGTGGCCCAAGACTCTTGTTCTCTGTGCCAACAACTGGAAAATGAGAGGGTTTTCGTGGAAGATCTCTGTACTGCTGATATTTTAAGATCTCCAAGTCTTTATTGAGCACCTGGTATGTGTATAACACTATGCCAGTTACCAAGGGAGAGATGAAAAATTAAGACATCTCTATTGCCCTAAGGGAGCATAAAAATCTTATGTCAAGGAAAAACAAGGCTAGCACTCATAGCCTATCTTTACAGAAACTCACAGGCATCAGTTAACACAGTTGCAAATTGTTCTGAAGAAGATAAAGGCTCAAGGAGTGAAAAGGCATGAAATAGAAACAAAAGCAACTGACCTATGCGTTTGGGCAGTGATCAGTAATAATACCAGCTAACGTGTATCTAAGGCTTCCAGTGCCAGGTACGATGCAAAATGAATCATATGAGCTGCACCTTTTGTTCATTTTATAAATGGGGAAACAGAGCTTTAGAAGAGTTTAGTGACGCATTCAAGGTGACATACTAATAAGTGGTAGGATTGATATTTGAATAGTTCTCACCTGACTCCAAAGTGCATCTTCTCAACCAATCTTAGAGATTATTAGCCCAGACTTCCCTGTTTTATAATTGAGGGAGTTCATTAGAGCACTAGAGGAGGAAACCACCCTTCCAGTAAAAACTAGACTCCTAGTCCAGTGCTCTATGTAATTGAGTAGTGTGCTTATGTTTGCTATTTTGGTAGTTTTTCTCTTTCCCCCAAAATATGTAATAGGAGAGGGGGAAGTCAGGTAAAGCGGAGAGGAGAAAAAGAGAGAATTTGCTCCTTTTGAAGATGCCCAGAATCCACAGTAGTCTACCTGCCCAGACTCAATGGGATTTTATTTGTAACCTTAGTCTAGTGGGCAGCCCTGTATAGCCTCTCTTCCCATCGTGGTTGTTTGAATCTTTCAGGTTAATAGCATGAATATTAAAGACTCCAGTGGGACTCTTTATCTGCAAAGGAAATTGGGATCAGGTTAAAAATCCAATTTTAATAAACTTTCCAAGTCCTGATTTAGATGATGTACTAATGGCTCTTACTGCTGAATCACCTTAAAAGTCAAATGTATTTTTAAAAGGGAAGCTTGTTGGGTATTGTTTAATTGTACATTGTACATTCCTGTCTTAATAGAAAAAGATCATCTGTAAAACTTATGAGAGCAGATAGGAAATGCCACTATCCACAGAGCCAGTTGGGTAGAGGGAAGGGCGTCGGGTTTGAAAGATAATTTTCACTCGTTTGACCAAAACAAAGAGAGCATGATTGCACTGTGTGAAAATGATATCCTCAAATAACTCCACTAATTTGATTGTGCTGAGGTCTAGAATTGTTTCTGTTTCTTTTGATTTGCTAATTAGCTACAGCAGTCTGTTAGTGAGAGAGGAAATGCGGGTCACAATCATAAAACACGGAGGATCGTTGTTCCTTCCAACTCAACTCACCCATCTCCTGCCTCCCCCACCACCCCATCCCAACGCCCAATTTTGTCTTTGTGTATGTAACAACAATCCATCCATCTGTGACAAATGGACTGACTTCTTTCCCCCAAAAACAGGATTTTCAAGATTATCTACTTTATAACACCAACTTTGACACATCTTGGCAGATGTGGTTACAAGGTCCAGTTACGACTTTTATGATGTTTTCCTTTATGAATCCTGCTCCCTGCCTTGCCAAGTTAAAATTATATTTTATGACTGCGTTAGCATACAGGTGAATATATTTTCTTCTTTATTTAAATATCTTCTTTAACCTAAAAGTTTATATTTTTCTGATTTTTAAAAGAAATTAAATCATTTTTGGGAAGCATTCAAGGCACCATAAGCTCTGGGCAATGTGCCTAAGACTTCTAATGGAGACTTTGGCCCTGTGCAGATGATACTGCAGACTTTGGCCCTGTGCAGATGATACTGGCTTAGTTAATTTAGGTAAAGTATCACAGTAAATACAATTTCAGAAAAAAGCTTATAGTCTATTGTGTTAGATAAACAACTATAGACAAATAAAATACTGCTTTTATTTGTTATCCTGTGTTAAACTGTGGTCAAAATTACACATATCAGTGCTACAAAAATTGCAGTATTGCAGGCTTGAAGGGGTCCCCTTGTTCAAATTACCAGCGCCTGCTGAGTGCTGGAATACCTTCAGGGCAATGGCAAATTGTGGTACTCTCTTTGATTTTAGGTTTTGGGACCAAAGCTGCCTGATCTTTTGATGAGTAGATCTTGATGATTTGCTCTTTTAGGCCTTATTCAAAGATACTGGGAACCTCACACTCTTCAGGAAGAAAAAAAAGTTTTCTTTCCTGGCAGGCCCATCAGTTCAGTTGAATCAATATGTATTAGGTACCTCCCAAACAGCAGCCTCTGTGCTAGGTACATGGGTAGAGATTTATGAAGAAGAATGAATTCAATCCCTTACTTAGGAGCTCACAGATGTGCATGAACAGAAAAATTACAATTCAGTCTAATCATTCTCATGAGTTCCCAGTTCTGTTTGTAATAGGAAGGTCCAAGGAGCATTTGAACTGTGACTCTCAGACCCTTACCTCCTACTCTGAACTCTCAGCTTCAGTCAGCACATGCTGTTTCTAGCAGCTGCCTTCTGTCTTGGAGTTCCCACTGAACTCCTTTAGAGTATGTCCGTATGGTCCCTGAAAACCACTGGTGCTGGCTTTTCCTTTCAAAGCCTTGTTTTAATTCTAGATTGAAATAGCACTAATGCCACAAGAAGTCTCTTAGACAATAGTACAGTTCTCTTTCCATAGACTTTGGAACACTGTTCTTTTGGAAATGTTTGCAATGACACTTATAAGAGCTGGCTATATAGATATAGATATAGATATAGATATAGATATAGATATAGATATAGATAGAGTTTATATATAGTTCATATATATAGTTTATATATACAGTTCATATATATATAGTTTATATACATATATAAATCTGCTTTGTGGTGGAAATAAATATTTTGTAGAATGCTTTGAAGCTTAGGCAATTAGTTCTTTTTTAAAAAAAAATAATAATAATTTTCTTTTAAGTTCCAGGATACATGTGCAGGATGTGACGTGCAGGTTTGTCACATAGGTAAACATGTGCCATGGTGGTTTGCTGCACCGATGGGCCCATCACCTAGGTATTAAGCCCCACGTGCA